ACAAATGGCAAATAAGCATATGAAAAGATGTTCCACATCAGATGTCATCAGAGAAATCCAAATTAAAACAACAAGGTACCACTTCATACCTATTAGAATGGCCATAATTCAGACCACCGACAACATGAAATCCTGGCGGGGACATGGAGCAACAGGAGCTCTCACTCACTGCTGGTGAAAACACAGATGGTGCAGCCACTTAGGAAAACAGTCTGCAGTTTCTTACAAAACTAAGCATACTCTTACCAAATGATCCAGCAATATAGTTCTTTGGTATTAACCTAAAAGTTGAGACTTTTGTCCTCACAAAAACCTGTACATAGATATTTATAGCAGCTTTATCCATAATTGTCAAAACTTGGAAGCAACCAAGTTGTCCTTCAGTAGGGGATGGATAAATAAGCTGTGGTCCATCCAGAAAACTAAATATTATTCAGTGCTAAAAGAAAATGAGCTATCAAGCTGTGAAAAGGGAGGGGAGATAAGCTGGAGGGTGAGTTTAATCATCAATGGCCAATGATTTAATCGATTGAGCCTATGTAATGAAGCCTCCATAAAAACCCAAAAGGACAGGATTTAGAGAGCTTCTGGGTTCGTGAACACATGGAGATTTGGGGAGACTGGCGCTCCCAGAGAACATGGAAGCTCCATACCCCTTCCCACATACCTGGCCCTATGCATCTTTTCATCTTGCTATTGACTCATATTCTGTAACATGCTTTGTAATAAACCAGTAACCTTGTGAGTAAACTGGTTTCCTGAGTTCTGTGAGCTGCTCTAGCAAATTAATCCAACCCAGGCAAGAGAATCATGGGAACCTATGATTTATAGCCAGTTGGTCAGAAGCACAGGTGACAACCTGGCAACTGAAGTGGAGGGTGGTCTTGTGGGATGGAGCACTTAACCTGTGAAATCTGACGCTGTCTCCAGGTAGATAGTCAGAATTAAGTTTATTGTAGGACACCCACCTGGTGTCGGAGAATTGCGTGGTAGTGCAGGAAAAAAACCCACACATCAGAATTGAAGTCAGAATCTCAACTATTTAACACGGGAAACTTTTTCTGGAAAGGCCCACATAGTAATATTTTAGGCTTTGTGGCCTCATAAGACCTGTTATATATTCTTCTTTTTTTATAATCCTTAAAAATACAAAAACTAATCTTAGCTCATGGGTTATACAAAACAGGTTGCAGGCCGGGTTTGGCCAGCCGATGGAGTCTGCCAACCCCAATCTGACACAACGTGTATTTCACTAACTCATTTTGGATGATCTACTTCTCACACATCTGTCTCACCATAGAATGTTGAGTCCTCCAGGTCAAAAATCTTCGTTTACTGCAGGGGTCAGCAAAATGTGGCTCCACATGCGAGCCACATGTGGCTCTTTGGGTACGTTCCATCCCAAAAGTTTGCCGACCCCTGGAAGAGCCAATCCTGTCCCTCACAAAAATGTAAAAATTATTTGAGAGCCATCAATATATTTTTACATAATCACCATTATGTGAATAATATCCTTTAAAAATTTGTAAATGAAACTATGATGGTTTTATTTTCATTTTCAATTTTACTTCAGAGCCACATGTAGGTACCCAAAGAGCCACATGTGGCTCGCGAGCTGCAGTTTGCCGACCCCTGGTGGCTCTTCCGTCTCAAAAGTTTGCCAACCCCTGGTCTACTGTGTTTACTACAGAATCCCAGGGCTAAAATAAGCACAAAAATCAGATACTTTTAATGAATGAAAGTAGGAATACTTTCAATTGGGGAAAAATTTGTTTTATTTAAAGCTCCCCAATGGTTTCTATAGTGGAAGCCATTGGTGCTCCACCCAGATCTCTTTGAATCCCTTTTGCCAGCACTGAGTGTCCACCCCCCAGCTTTTGAATTCTTTACTGTGAAAGGCTCATACCTTCCCTCTCCCTCAGAGAACTCTCCCTCGGAGAACAACCCTGGACCCAGACCAGAGACCTGGAAGTGCAAGGGAGTTCACATCCACCCAGGATGGCCCCAGGCAGTGACTGATGCAGGAACATGAAAGCTCAGCTCTCTTGCTTTCAGGGGTGACAGACTTTGCAGAGTACTTTATGCTCCAAAACTCCCCTGGAATCTTGATGAGCCTGGGACTTCTGAAATCGTGCCCTCGGTTGGCTTCTTGATCTTCCTTATCCTGTCCCCTCATTCCCCCACTGGTTTCTCCTGGGAGCACTTCCTTAACCAACCACTGGCCCAGGAATCCTCACCTCAGGACCTGATTCTGAGGATACTGATCTAAGACAACCTCAGGTACTGAAGTAATACCAGGTACTGGAATTATCAGATACATAATATAAAACAACTGTGCATTATATGCTCAAAGGTTTGAAAATGGTACCACAAAGAATGAGCAAACGATGAGAAACTATTAAAAAGAACAGGCATATTTGGAAAAGAAGGAAATGGAACTTTTAAAATGAAAATTTAATTATTGAAATAAGCTCCATGGATGGTTGAAACAGATTAGACACAGCTAAAACTAAAATTAGTGAACTGGAAGAAAGATCTAAAAAGTGCATCCAGAATGCATTCCAAAGAGACAAGGGGAGAGAGAATATGAAAAAGAGATTAAAAGATATGAAGGCTGTATTGAGTTGGTTCAAAACGCACGTAATCAGAATCCCAGAAGGAAGTACAGGCCCAGCAATCTCACTCTTTGGTATGTACCCTGTAGACATTCTTGCGTTTATGCACTGAGGGACATACACCCCATACTGGAAATCATTTTGCAGTTCATCAAGAGAGTAAATTATAGCAAAGACACACAGTAGACTATTATATAGCAATGAAAACAGATGTACTACAGCTACAAGCAATAACATGGGTGAATCTCAAAAACATTTTTATAAAGCACAAAAATGAGCAACACTAAAGCCATATTGTTTGGGGATACACTTTTAGGCAAGGTAATGGTAAATACAAAATAAAAGATAGTTGTTACTTCTGGTGGGAAGGCAGAAATCAGACCCACCAGGTGCATCCAGGGTATTGATAATGTTCAAGATCTCAAGGTGGATTATAGATTTGTGAATGTTCATTTTATTATGTTCTTCATAAACTAGCATAAATAGTCTATTTTTTTGCATATATCAGACATTACACTAAAAGTAGTATTTGCAGGATCTCTATAAAACAATTAGTATAGATAGGTGCTATAGATGCTCAGACCACCTTAACAGGTCAGATAGACCAGGGGTAGAATCTCATGTTTTACTGTGTCTTTGAGTAGGTTACTGACCACTCACAGACCTGACTTTTCTCATAGAATAAAGACAATAGTATCTGCCTCATAGGGTTTACTATAAGAATTAATATGGGGCCGGCCGAGTGGCGCGATGGTTAAGAACTGGCTTGGGACGCCAGAGGGCCCCGGTTCGGATCCCACATATGAGGGCCAGTGACACTGCCCTCCACAGCTAAGATGCTGAACAACAGCTCAACCTGCAGCTGGGCTGCCCATGAGTCGGCGGCCACGGTGTAGGCTGCAGCCCCTGTGGCAGTGGGTTGCCATGGGCTACCGTATGTAGCCAGCAGCCAGCGTGAGCGGCCAGCAGCTGCAGTGAGCGGCCATCCAGAAGCCGGCGACTGATCTGCCTCACCCAGGAAGAGCACAATGATGGTGCCAACTTGGGCCAGTGAAGCAACGTCCTCCATAACTAGACTGAAGAGCAAGGCGACAGCAACTTGTCTGTTCCCCTTCCCCCAATTCCCCAGCACTGTTCCCATCCCCCCAATTCCCCAATAAAAATCTTAAAAAAAAAAAAAAAGAATTAATATGGTAGGTTTGCTGGACTGTAAACTCCATAGTAGATAGGACTACATCTGTCTTGTTCCTCTGTGTATCCCTATTGAACAGCATGTGCGTGAAACGTAGTCAGTACTTAGGTCAATTCCTCATCCTTCTACAACAGAATGAAGCAATAAGGGGGGGGGTGTTTAGCTTTAGAGTGGTTGTTTCACTTTTTGGTTTTTGTTTGTTTGTTTTGTTTATTTTTTAGATTGACATTTTATCTTGGCATCAGCTACATGTCACTATATATAAGAAGTAACTTGATTTCTCTGGGTTTCAGGTTCTTTATCTGTTACACAACAAAATGGGACTAAAGTATATAATTTCTTGATGCCCATAGCCCGACATCATACTCTATATATTAGTCTTTTCAGAAAATAAATAAGGCATATTTCTGTTACACAAAAATGCAAGTTCAAGTTACACAGTGACGAAATATCTCTCAAAGAACGAAAATACCACTTGAACAAAATGACGTCTGAGATGGTCAAACTGTTCAGTGACTGTCATCTCAGGTGAGTGGGCATCAGGGCACCTTGCCTTCTGGCACGTTGTATTAGCTTGGCTCTTTTATCTCTGACCTCCCAGTTCTTATTCTTTCTCTTTTGGTTTCTATTCTTCTTCTACCCTCTGTGGTTACCCCTAAAACTCAACTCTCAGCATCTGATAAGCTTACCTACTCTCACACCTTTAACTATTACAGTTATCACAGTTAATCTGGGTCCTGCCATCATTTCATCTACAGGTCAAAACACACTTCAGGACCTCTGTTCCTAAGATGTGATGCCCTTGCAGTTCTCTGCCTATCATCTGCTGTAAGTCAGCTCACCTGCCCAGAGAGAATGCAGGAAACCCAGACCTGCAGCCCCTGGGGGATGCAGCAAGAGTTTACAAACACATTCAGGCCAGAAGCCTGAGACTCACACTCAGTTCTCTGACCCATCACACACCTTTACACCCTAAGGGTCCTTTCCTCACAATTGAAGCCCCTCCTTCAGTCTCAGTCCATGTCCCCACCCCTGTAGGTCTGTCTGGCCTTGACCAGCTCATTGACACTGTAATAGCCGTGAAGGGAAAAGAGTGAAATCACAGACATTTTTGGCTCTGAGAATGTGATAAACAAGACCCACTGAGAGCACCAGTGAATTCTGTCCCCTCCCGGAGGTGCCAGCTGACTTACCTGATGTTTTCCAGGGCGTTTGTTATCTGCTGTTGCTCAATATCATAGAGTTTTACTTTGAAGCCTCCACTGGCAAACAACATAGCCCAGCTTCGCCCAATGAGTCCACTAAAGGGACAGAAAATTAAGAAAAGCTTCTGGTTAACTTAGCGGAACAGATTTTTATTCCTAACCCAGAACACATTTTTAAAAATTATACAGCATCCTATTCTTAAAATATTTAATATCTTAAAATCACACATTTTAATAGCTGTATTGATTTAAAATGTTATCTGAGTCCTGAATCCTTGACTCCAGTGCAGCCTTAATACTGTGTGTGGCACACCACCAAGTGTCAGGTAGTTAACACGCGCTCACACAATGTAACAAAGTTACAGAAGGGAGGTGGCAGGGTGTTGTGGAGGTGAAACCTCTGTAAACCTCCATCTGACCACTGTTCTTAAAGAACAGATAGTATTTTCTGTCCTCTTCAAATAAATAATTCCTGCAACCACCAGCGGCATCTGATCATGTATTAGATGGCAGGTAACATTAAACGTGTTATGTGTCTCACCTCTGTTAATCTTTACAGCAACTCTACAAGGTCGGGGCTATTATCATTTCCATTTTATGTATGGGAAAACTGAGGAACAGGTGGGTTAAGCTGCCACAGGCTAAGATGACAGAGACATCTGAGTGCCGAGCTGAGATGAACCCAGGCAGTCTGACTCCAGTCCTTACTGTTACATTCTGCCCAGTGTTTCAGATTTATTGGAAATAAAGGGACAGAGGAACATGTTAAATGATACTACAGGGATACATTCCACATAACCCAGAATGTGGGAAATTTTTACAGACAAATGACCCATGTTCTTCAACAAGTAGGCTGTCAGGACTCGGACCATTTTTCAGTTATATTTGCCGAGCGATGTTGAGGGTAGAGGAAATCTATCCCTCGAGGACAAAGAGCAAGCATGCTTACCTCTTGCTATAAAAACCATGGCTTCCTCAAGATCAGTGTTCCTCTCTGGAACACATTCACTAAATCTGCAGGTGTCCACCTTGCCCCTCCGCTTCATGCTCATGGGACTCAGGGAGAAGGGAAACCAACACAAATATAATGGTTATGCTGCCTGCTCTGCTGTGATTAATAAAATCCTTTGTCTCTGACCCCAGGGCCTCATGTCCTCTGCCAGCATTCAGGCAAAGTTACTAGCTTGGAGACAGCCTGAACTTACAGTACAGTAGGGCAAGCTTATCTCAGTCATGGGTATTTCACTGTAGTAACTAAAGGAGTCACCTTGGGGAAAGGGAGGCTAGAATATAATAGCAGTCATAGGGTGGTCTGCAAGAAGCATTTTCCCCTCTCCTTAATTCAGCTACACTATAGTTCAGGTTCTGAGCACAGGACGCTTCTCACACCAGAGACAGTTACAACCCCCATAACTTCTGTCATAGCTTTTGGAACCAAGTGATTAAAGGAAAGAGCTTGGCATGCCTCCTATTGATTTGAAAACCCTGCTAATAGCACAGCAGTGCTATCCAAGCTTCAAAGCTCTCACCCAATGCTCACTTGAGCTAAGCCTTTAATACATTCAAGGAACCACCTTCTTGTTATAAGGTATCTTATGTGAAGCCATTCATAGGAAAAACAGAGTGAAAATAACTGAAATCACTTCTTCTCAACTTCTGGAGAAGGGAACGGAATTATACAGATTTTACTCTATATTCTTGTGCAATACTAAAACCTTTGTAATTAATATAAAATTTATATATCACATACATATAAATTTTTAATTAAACGCTCAGTGCTCTAGACCTGCACTGCCCAATATGGTAGACTCTAGCCACATGCAGCCATTTAAATTAGTTAAAATTAAATACATTTTAAAATTTAGTACATCAACAGTACTAGACACATTTAAAGCATTCAACAGCCTCAAGTTATCGTGGCTACCATCTATAGCAAGGGTATACATAGAACATTTCCATTTTTGCAGAAGGTTCTATTGGACAGAGCTGTTCTAGATCATCTGAAGAAAAAAAAACCCAGAGTTTGAAAGAGATACTCTGAGCATGAAGACTTCTTTCTCTTCTTCAAACGCGCGCGCGCGCGCGCGCACACACACACACACACACACACACACACACACACACACACACACTCCAGACTTGCAAGGTGGTTAGTTAGAAGGCCAATTAACATTCATGCTGGTCATCCCAACTGACCAGCCATTAACTTTGAACATTTCTCTTCCTGCTGCCATTATCATAATGTTTGAAACATACAATAACTTATTTAACCATAGAAGAAGCCCTTAATTCAGCCTAACTCTAGAATGAAGAATGCTTTCACAATGGGGGTTACAGTAGTGTGTTCACTCTGTGATAATCATCAAGCTGTACACATGATTTCTCCACTTTGCTGTAAGACATAAGTTGTAAAAATATTTTCTAAAAAGAGCAATATTTTCTTTGCCACTTTGTGGTTTAAGAAAATCCCACAGCCCTACAAAATGACTCATGCATACATGGGAAAGCCTGCGCCCACATGTTTGTTGATCAGGCTCCCGACCCTGTAGCTGACTTACTCCTTCAGGGATGGCCACTCCACTTGGCCTTTAAAGCAAACTTAGCATCAGACTCTCAATCTACTGGGTCCCCTGACACAATTAAACTGAGAGAGTCAGTGCAGAGGACAAGGGAAGTGCCCATGCCAGGCTTGGGGAACAGAAAGGGCTAGCAGACTGCACAGTAGAAAGGTAAGGTACTTCAATTGGTCTCTGTATAAAAGCCCCTAGTGCTATAGCTGCTTTTACAGAAAAGACTTTCCACAAAGGAGAACAGAACAGATTCATCTCAGTAGGTAAACCTCCTACCACAACTTGACTTGCTTTTTCAAAATAAGTAGAAGCACTTCTCAAATAAGCCTGCATTGCAGGGGCAGCCACAGAAAAGGGAGAGAAGGCAGCTTTCTGAAGATCTGCTTTCTTGATTAACAAAGGTTACATCTTTGCTTAAACCTGCATTGTCCAGTACAGTAGCCATTAGCCACATGGGGCTCTTAAGCACTGGAAAAGTGGCTGGTGACAAAATTCATAAACATTTAAAATGAAGTCAGGAGGCCAGAAGAGGGCACTCTCATGCCCTAAGTGGGTCTCAGAGACCAAGAGGAAAAACTCTGTTTATCACCAGCTCTCCCAACTTGCTCTTCTCTATAAAAGAGTGTTCCTTTCCTTTGTTTCTCTGGACTTGCCTGCAGTTCACTTTTAGACTGCATATCCCAAATTGCAAGTCTTTGTTCTTCCCAAATAAACCACTTTTGCTGGAGAAATATGTGGCTGTCTATTTGTTTAAGGTCAACACCATTCTGAAGTGAGATGTACTACAAGTGTAAAATACACACTGGATTTTAAAGACAATATCCAAAAATACCATAAACTATTTCATTAATATTTTATTTAAGTTGCACGTTGAAGTAACACTTTGAAAATATGCTAAATAAAATATATTAAAATTAATTTCACCTTTTCTTTTTATTTTTTTATTATAACTCATAGAAAATTTAATTACGTATGTGGCTTGCATTTCTGGCTCACATTACTTTTCTAAAGGGCAGTGGTCACTTAAATGATTAACTAGTGTTATAATTCATTTATCTCAGTAGTTAGTTTGGTATCAAGACACCAAGTTCTACCCCTAACTATTCTTCTACACTAGGATCATACAAAAGTAAGTCACATCTCCAAGGGGGATGTGTAGTTCTTCATCTATAAATACAGCGGGAGCAGGGGAATATTCACACTAAAACAGTAGCTTCAACCTTTCCAACAAAGACAGTACTCTAAGCCACCATGGTCCTTATATTTGAATACTGGTTGCCAAATAAACTAATGTTAATAACTTTGTTTATGGCAAAAAAAATCAACATAAGGCAAATGTCCAAAATGAAATAATATCTATAATATATAAATATACAAAAATTCCCACAAACAGAACTAAAAGAAGTACACAACAAACATGAGAGGGGAAAATCCTGAACAAAGTAAGTGAACAGGAAATAACAAATTAGCGTGAAAACAGATTCTACTGTTTTAACAACAGCAAATAATATACCAGAATGGCAGAGATTAAAGACTGACGATGCTTAGTGTTGGTGAAGCTATGGGGAAATGAACACTCACAAACTATTGCGGGGAATTAAATTGGTGGCTAGTATCCAGAGGCAATCTAACACCCTGTAACAAAACTGTGTTTGTAATATTTGACCTAGAAATTTTACTTCTAGAATTTATCTTAGGTTAATATGGGCAATGCCCAAAGATATCTATTCACAGTAAAATTTAAGTTAGCAAAAAATTAAAAACTAACCATCTAATATTCAAAATTGGTCAAATAAAATTAAATTATACACAGATAAAGCAAAGATAACAAGTTTTTAGCAACTGTTGAATACAGAGGTGGGTATGTGGGTATTCTTTTTCCTATAATTTCAAGTCTTCTGTGTGTTTGAAATTTTTCATAATAAAAAGTTGGGAAGAAATTAGTTAAACTCCATATAACAGACCTTAAAGACAAAGTTGATTTCTTTTTATAGTAGTAGGTTTCATGGCCTGTATTGACCACATTCCTCTACTGGGCAGACCAAGAGCAGAATGCCAACTCCTGGAACCTGCAGGCATCCCTTACCCACACACTCAGTCACTGATGATTGGATGTGAAGTGGACACCTTACCCAAAGCAGCCAATCAACTGGCTTACCAGCACCCAATGGTATCTGTAGCCTGGCTCACATAAAGGAACTGAGCCAATCAGATCTCCTCTCCTGAAAATCGGACCCAAAATATGGGAACTATAAGTCAGTAACAGGCACTAGAGTTGAAAGGTTATGACACTGGGGTTGCAGCAATGTCCAAGATAAAGAAGCAGGAGGGAGAGAAAAGTGAGCACACACAGACGGGGGAATCTACAGAACAGACATTAATGTAGAGCCAGGTATACAGAGATTGTAGGCTGCATAGCCCCAGAACGAAAGCTTGTGGCCTTGGTTTCCACTGGGCTCTTTTGTGCTCAGTACTACTTTACATCAGGAAAATGCAATGAGCCTCCTTAGAGCCTGGGATATCTCATTAATTTTTCTGAACCTCCTAGATACCTGGGGACCATACAGTGGACCCTTGCCATTTGGATTATATTCTGACATGCTTTAAAGCTTCTAAATGCATAAAAATGTATTCTGTTACACAGCAGCAAAGCAGCAGGGGGGAAAAGTTAAGTTATAAAATTGGCTCTGTTCTAATTTCATCATTAATGTCACTTTCCTTTGAATAAATCCACTCTAGATGCTTTTAAAAGTATCTTTCCATTCCACAGTCACTTATTTACTGGGCAAAAGTTGAAGTAAAACTGTTCCTACATTCTTGATCTAAGTAGGCTATGGGGCATTTGCCAATAAGAACTATAAAAATTCCCTAAGAAGGGCGCATTTAGTGTTTGAGCTGACTCAAGAGGTAACTGGAGCACCCTACGGTTTACTCTGTGTCTCTCTCTATATATCTCTGTCTCTGCATGTTTTAATGCAAAAATGAACAAGAATACCTAGAGCAGCACTTTGAAAAAATTTCATGTCTCAGAAAATTTCTCAAAAAATGTACATAGTCACCCCCAAAGTAAAATTTTGGAATAGAAAAACTGAAGACTAGTTTAAGGATGCTTTACTTGACTTAAACCAACATACTAGCAAGTCCTTTACACTGCACATCAATTTTTTAAAAACACAATCTCTGTTATAAACGCTCAAATGTCTGTCTACTAGGACCAGGCATGGTGGATACACAACCAGTGATGATACAGTTTCTACCCTAAAGGTATGGTCCCAGAAACAGAACTTTTCCTGGAGCAGATGGCTGCTGGGCTCAGACCTGAAGGAGTGAGCCCAGTGAAAAGGGGGACCAGGAACATGACAAGGTTGGTCTTCCCTCCCATACAGATTCCAATTTTAAAACAAGCTCAAGGCATAAATTTGGGTAAACACAATGATATATATATATAATGAATATACAATTCATATTTCAGTTGTTGACCTTAAATAGCCAGATATTTCTCCAGCAAAATGGGTTTATTTGGGAACAACAAAGAATTGCAATTCTGGACACGTGGTTTAATGGCAAACCACAGAGCAAATACAGAGAACAAAGAAGAGGAACATTCTTTTATAGAGGAAAAAGTGAGTTCAGAGGTGCTGTTGTAAACAGAGTCCATTGGTGGAAACTGGGAGTTCAAAGTGTAGAGGCTTTCCGTTGGCTGAGTTGTAACAGTCTTTCATTGGCTAAGTGGTTGCCTGGTGAGGAAAAGATCCTCCTTCTTCCTGTTGGAGTGAATAGAATAGAAAAACATGTTCCTGTTGGACAGAGAGAGTATCTCCTCCTGTTTGTGGTAATTCATGATGAGTAGTAGGGTATAGGAGCTCCCGCTACAGTCCCTGCCCACTCCCATTTACATGAGGTTTCTGTTTGATAATCTTCAGTTATCCAGAAACACCATCTTATATATACCAGAATAAGTTCCTCTGTAGATGTGCGATGCCAACAGAAATGAAAGCCTGAGGACACCACTTAAATGCAAACTTATTTGCAAGTTACTCATTTCTACTCCCATTTTTTAAAGTTGTCATTACCGGATTTTCCCTCTCTTTATGTTCCTGCAACCCTAGGCCTTAGGGGGTTTTCTCTCCTTTCGTAATTCTTCAAAACACACTCTTACTCTCTCAAGCCCATCATTCTGAAGGGATCTGCCTTGGATGCTCATAGGAAAGCTAAGCAGCTCTGAGAAAGAGTGGCCTTTATGAAAAGATCAGTGGAAAAGAATTTAAAGAGACTGCATTTCTAGCAAATACTTTTAACAGGCAGCCTGGTATTGATAAGATGGAAAAACAATGGCCCAATAGGTTACTGAAATTTAAATATGTACTTGTTGGTCTTGTTGACAAAACAACATCGAGCCTAAAAGAACGCTTATAAGAGTTTATTTGAGCCAAACTGATGACAATTGCCAGGAAGCAAAGTTTCAACGGATTGAGAAAATGCTCCGGAAAATGGCCGTTTTGCAACTTATTTTATACATTAAAATCAAAGAAGGAAGGTTGCATGAAATCCACTGGTTGTAGATTAAGTGGGTAGGAGAAAGCAAAGTGGGAAGATCTCTGGGATTGGATAAAAAGTAAAATGGAGAGACACACACTTCTTTTACATTGCAGGGTACAGGATAGTTAATAGTATTTTACAGCACATATAGTATTTGGGGAACAAGATAACAATGAGGGATTTTGTAGATACCTGCTCTCGTGTGGTGGGTTGTGCTCCCTGGGGGTAGTCTGGAAAAAGATATTACTCTGATATTGCAAGGGTATGTTATCTTAGATGCAAAAAGACCACAGACAGGCTTAAGGTAAAGATTGACCTTTGTCAAGCAAGCTACAGGCCAAGGGTGTGACTACTGGCCATGACTTGCTTTTAGTTAGGAATTTTTATGTTCAGACCATCTTATGTGGTTATTTTTCAGTCTCCTGAGCTTGTCAGGTTTAACATGTGGCCCCTTTTTTGTCCACATTCTGTTGAAATCCAAGAATGAAACTCAACCAGGTTTTAGCGAATTTAAGTGCATGTTCCTTGGAACCACCTGTGGGGCTGGAAGAAAAAAAATAAAGCTGAGGGAAGAGAGGGGAGAGAAAAGGGTAAACGGAAGGGAAGCACTGCTACCCCAGAAAGGGTGTCTGTCGAGGTGCTGAGGGTATGGCGGTAGACAGGACTATCAATCCTGTGCAAAGTACTGTGGTCATTATAGCTTGCCAGCCCTGTCTAACTCCTTGTCACCCTCCCTCAAAGGAATCAGAAAAGACTAACTCGCCAATCTCAGCTCCTTCTCAAAAGACCATGACCCTTCCAGCATGATTAGGTGCAGGCAGGACAACACTAGGAAGCAAGTGGGAGACTTAAAACGCTCTACCCCTTGACGCTGGACATCAAAAATGCAAGGCAAGCATAGTCACCGTACCTGGTTCAAAGTTCACTTTTACACATACTTTTTATATTCCTTCTCTAGGCAGCCATACACACCACACCCATGTGCCTGGAAAGGTCAAAGGCACAGTTCATGCCACTGCATTGTAAGCAAAAGAAAGCTGACAAAAGGCATCCTGACTCCTTTCTTCAATGGATTCTAAAGGAAAAACCCTGACATTGGAATTGTTCTCCTGACAGGGTTGTAAAACTGTTGGGGAGGTCAGGTAGCCAACACCTCAGTGGCATAAAGGGAAACAAAGCCGACACCAAACAGGTGCTTCCAACTAGCAATAGCAGGTATTAACATGTGGATTGCTGATAGCTTACCAGTGGAAAGATACACATAAATGCCTTTTTTAAATGAAAATAGCAAGAGTTTTAAAAGAGGGAGAGAGAGCACCAACCAGAAACCTTTGGATGGAATTTCGGCTGTTAAGACTGACATCCTAGGAAACTGGGCTCCAGCGTTCCCTTCTGGAAAAGGCGTATTCAAGAATTAGGCAAGGCAGTTGTGTTCCCAAGCACCTGTTCCCGCCCACAACGACACGCTGAGGACCGGAACACGCGCTCCCACGCCTCGCGGGCAGCCTGGTTCGGGGCGTGCATCCACCCTCCCTGCTGGGCTGGTGCCATCTCGGTCACTGACAAGCTGTGACCGTGGGTAAACTGCTTAATCACGGTTTTCCTATCCATAACATGGGAAAGGTTAATCCAGCTATGCAGACAAACTTCATGTCGCCCACACAGAATGCCTGGCACGTCTACTTGGACTTGCTGGCAAGCAGCATCACCGCACGAGTCCCTTAAACCGCCTTTGCATGCGGCCTGCGCCGTCAGGTGTCTGAACCGCGGCTACGTCAGCGTGGAAAGAACCAACACTGCGCTCCACAGTGTGCTCCACCGCACTCCCGGGCCGGGCCAGTGCCGCGCGGAGCACCTTCGCAGGACCGGGCCAGCGCGCCCCCACCCGCTCCAGCGACAGCCACCTGGGCACCCACCCGTGCAGGCCACTTACCTGCCAACGATAACCACTAGGCCAGCCGCTGAGGAAGCCATGCTGGCGCTGGACTGACAAGTAGGTATCACACGCACCAAGAGCAGCTTGGGACTCCCGGCTCCGTGCTGCGCAGGGTCCCACGTTGGGTGGGCTGTGACCCGCGCCCATTGGCTGATCTCGGAGCTGGGGCGGTGCGAGGGCCCCGATTGGCTCCGGATTGGCTCTGGATTGGCTCCAGATTGGCTTGGGCAGTGTCGGGGGCGGGCTCCTCTGTGAGCCCGCTTGGTGCTCAGGGTTTGGGTGGAGCTGGCGGAGGGAGGGCCCGCGGAGGGAACGCCCAAGGGAAGCGCGAAGACCCGACCCTAGACTCCAGTAATTCATTGTTTATTTTTTAGCTTTCGACCTTGCACCCTAAAATCAGTGTACAGAGTGGGGACGCTTCCAGGCTGGCACAAGACTCAACCTCCAGAGGACCCCAAGGAATCTCTCCCTAGATGATTAGCACCTCTTTCATGCTCTCCAGCTCGGGCCTTTAAACTAAGGGCAGTTTTGAGTTTACACTGATAATGCATTTCTAAGGATGATACCTGCCGCCTTCTCCAAGGATGAGAACGGAGGCCCAGGAACTGTGGGACAGAAGGGAAAGCTCCAGATGCGTGAATCTGTGTAACAGGAGGACTGCAGTGAGCTAAGGGGATGGGAGCAGTGGGAGCTACCGGAACTGCACTTCCTCCTCCAGAGGCCGAATTGCTCAAGTGTAAGAAAAAGGAAATGTCACCCTGCCTGACGTCTGGCTCTTTTTGGAGCCCAGAAACAAACAGACCAAGAGGAAAGGGCCTCATACATCGCAGGACAGTAGTTTGTGTCCACACAGCACACGCTGAGGGGAAGTACCATGTCATCCAGCTCAAGATGATTAGAGCTTGAGCGGAAAACACCTCCAACACCAACAAACTCTGATGACAAATAGAGCTCTTCCTTCATTTGTTTTCCCCAGTTAGGAACATGAAAAGATGTATGTTAGAGGGAAGGCTAAGCTTTAAGGAAGCAGTTAACAAATTATCAATAAACCTTTGAAAATGTGCTCAAGTCACTTTTAAAAAGAGAAATGAAAGGTAACACAACAAAGGTAAGTCATTCTTCACCCATCTAATTGGCTAAAATTACCAAAATTGATAATATTCCCTATTGGCAACCAAGACCTTTTTCTACACAATTGAAGACAGACTTAAACTGGCACAGGCTTTCTGGAGAGAAATGTTACAGTATGTTGTTGGGAGAGCTGTCACCATGAGCCCTGAGCATCCCTGCACATTCTTGCTGAGTGTACCACACGGCAAGGTGTATCCATCTTATACTGAGCAGTTTCTGTAGCTACTCACACAGGCAGCTAAAGAGGTGAGGGCACCTGCAGAGCGATTACCCTATAACTGCTCACTCCTGGGGTGGAAGGGGATTGGCTTGTTTGCTGCTCACTACAATGTTGGCTCTGCTAAAAAATAAAAAAATAAAAATAAATTTTAAAAAGTGCTGGTCCCTTGGCCCATTGCAAATGCCAGGGCCGTCTGGTCCTCCATGTAACCCCATGCGAACTGGGGCTCCAAGAACTATGCTGACACTCTGGCTATTGCTATTGCTGTGAGTAATAAGGTCTTTTATCTCTAACTCAGGAGTCTCATGTCTTCTGTCAACTTCCACAAAATTGTAACACACTAACTTGTTAGTTTGAAAAAAGGTGATAAATCTCAAATCCACCAGACAGTGCTTGACACATCAAAATTTTAAATGTATCTACCCATTGGTTTTACAATTTTAATCCTAGAGAAATACAAGTGGACACCAAGATAGATTAAGTTGTTTATTTTAATATAGTTTTTAAATGAGAAAAATATTGAAAACATGAAGAAATGGTTTTAAGGATTATGGTACGGAGGATTTCTTCATGTGGCAAAGATGCTCTTCAAAAGACACTGTTAAGAAAAATAAAAATACCAACCACACACTGGGAGAAACTATTGGTAAAACACATACCTGATTAGAAACTCATGTTCAGGACATACAGAGAAATCTCACAACTCAATAAGGAGAGAGATAACTGATTAGAAAGTGGGCAAAAGATTTGAAGAGACAGTTCACCAAAGAAGATATAGTAATGGTTAATAAGCAATGAAAAGATGCCAAACATCATTAGTCATCAGAAAATGTGAATTAAGGGCCGGCTGAGTGGCTCAGTTGGTTAAGAGCTCGCTTAAGAGTTTGAGCTCTGAGCAACAGCGGTTCAAGTCCTGGCCCGAGCTGAGCAGCCGCTGAGCTGACAACAGGTGGCAGGATGGCTCAGCTAAATAATAATAATAATAATAATAATAATAATAATAATAATAATAATAATAAATAAAGAAAAAAAAGAAAAAAGAAAAAAAGAAAATGTGAATTAAAACCACAATGAGATACCACTATACACCAGAAGGATTAAAATTAAAAACACCAAAAATACCTTGTGTTGGTAAGGATGTAAAACAATGGAATTCTCATATATTGCTGGTAGGAATGCAAAGTGGAAGAATCACTTGGGAAAATAATTTGGCAGTTTCCTCTGAAGTGAAATATACACTTAATATATGACTCTGTAATCCCACTCCTAGCTATTACTCAAGGGAAATAAACACAAGTGTTCACACAAAGATGTGCACAGCAATGTTCTTAGCAGCTTTATTCATAATAGCTAGAAACTAGAAACAACTCAAATAAGGAATAGAATAACAAATTTTGATATACTCATACAATGCAATAAGAAAAGACAAAGTAGCGATGCCTGGGACAACATGAATGACTCCCAATAACATTATGTTTAGCAAAAGAAGCCAAACATAAATATCTATGATTCAGTTTACATGTGACCCTAGAAAAGAGGCTCTCTGGGGCTGAGGGTATGGGAAAATTTTGGGGGTGATAGAAATATATGTATAAATTACAGGTGTATAAATTACCAAAACTCATTGAAATATACGCTTAATTTAAATGCATTATATTATATGTAAGTTCTACCTCAATATGTTTTTTTTTAAGTAGGATATTGGATAATGTATATTCTTCAAGAATAGAAGTTTGGTTTACTCCACCCCCACCCCACACACACCAAGGGGAATAAAAACACAGACAAAACCTTTATCAGTTGAGATGCTGGATGAGGGTGAACTTGAAGCAGTTGGAAAAGGAAGTAATAAATATTAAGTTCTTCTGACCAGTAACACAAATGCAGACTGTAGCAGCCATGTGTTTTTCCCTTATTTTTATCTGTGTAAGTATATGTGTGTGTATGTTATCTAATTTCTTTTCCTCCCTCCTCCTTTTCCCCTATTATCTTATGTAAGAGTTGTTGGTAGTGCTTAAATTTATAATTTAGTCTGTAGGTTATAGAACATTCAGGTGAGATGTAGACTGAATTAGACACGGATGCCCTGAGATGGATACACTGACTGCTCACACTTGCTCCACCTGCCATTTGGGAAGAGAGAGCAAGAGCATCTCTGTGGGAGAAGAATTGCATCTTCTTAGGAGAAAGCATTGTCCTTGCTATTGTGTCACAGACAAAAGGGTGTGTGTAGAAGGGACTGTGCCAGTTATTGGACTATTGGCTCTCTGCTCCATATCTACTCTTCTATACTCTGGTTTGTGATGCTGAAGCAGGCTTCCTGTTAAGTTCTACCAATATGGGTTCTAGAGAAAAACGAGAAGGTGGAAGGAGGAGAGAATGTTTGCTTGCTGATGCTGTTAGTGTCACCCTACCAATCGCACTAGTGACTTCCACTGGCTCTGTCTCCAGCTCTGTTGGCCCTACCAGACACTGTCTCTCACACACCATCAGAGGTGCACCCAGCTCCACCAGGCCCCTCCTCTGAGCCTCCAGTTCTAACATCCCCCAAATCTTCCCACCTTCCCTGAGTCCTGGGGGGCAGTGCCACCTCCTGATGCTATCATGTTACCTCAGTGTTCTTTTCGCTTTCCAGTTCTTTAAGAACGACTGAACTAATTCTCTGTATTACATTCTCTGTTGCAATATCTAGTGTGATTTCTGTTTTCCAGACTGGACTTTTGACTTCTATAAATGTTAAAAGCTGGTGTTTATGAATTGAATCTAATGGAACCAGGTAGTCTGAAAATCCATATGCATTTAGAGACGTTTTCACATGAACTTCCAGATGGAAGTTTAAATGTATAATCTCTGACATGTTCCCTTTTCTTTTCTTTGAATTCACTTAACTGAACTTGGTCTGATATTCTAGACTTTGGAAGTTGAATTTGTATAGTACGAGACTCAGGAATGAGAGGAAAGTTCAGTAAAGGGAGCTTTGAAGTTGAAAAGTTAAAGTTGAATTAAGCACCTGAAGACATGTAGATGCTGATCTAATTAGAAATTGAATATTACTAGGCAGAATGGGTTTGCACAGCCAAAATTTCCTTATTACAAATCTTGCACATATAACCAAGTATTCAGCCATTGAAAACTGGCCAGGTGATGGCTACATTAAACTTGGCACAGACTTCAGAGGTGAGCTCCATATGTTTGTCCACTCATTTCATAAAGTCGGTTAGGATTAATTCTATACTGCCTTAGGAGTTCGATAACACCACCAAGAATAGGTAAGTATTTAAAAGTTGCCAGATTTTAAGTACTAGCAGCTGTTGGAATGCCAACACTTCAGACTGAAATGTCCATATATAATCATACAAAATACGAATTGCAAGTGACTCTAGAAAGCACTCTTACTGGGACATATTCTTAGGACAAAAAGAACTACAGAGAATAGCTTGAATGTCATTTGGTAGTTTTATTTTTCATACCATTATCATACTGATATTTTTAACTATTTTTTTAGATAAAACAAGTAAATATGCTGATTTTGTTTGGCATGAAGATATCTCCATAAGAGAAAATAAGGTATAATTATAGAAACAAAGAGTTTAAAAAGGAATGCTATGATGTTAGAATTGAATTGAAAATATCAGTAAGAATGCACATCTTAAACAAACAAAAAAAAATGGTATTTTCCAGCTCTGCCCTCTGAAATGGCTTAGAATCAGCACCAGTAGCACAAATCTGCCCTGCAATGCTGGTGCCCAAACCTGGGTCTGTAATGCCATTTTTCACT